TACTTAGTTTGGTGGTTTGTACTTTTTTTTTTTTTTAAACTTGGTAGCAAGTATGTACCATTTAATATTATTTTTAGTATTTAAACGATTGAGTATAAGTAGTTTAGGCCTTAATATAGGTTATCAATTTAATTTTAGACAGATTTTTAAAAAATAAACTTGTTTTTAATTAGTTTTTTATTCCTTATGCTCGATGGTAGGGCACTCGTCTGAGAGGTGGGAAACTCCTGCTCGGGAATCCTCTGCTCATCAGGGCTTGGAGGGAATTGAATTGGGGTCTCCCACACCCCAGCTCAGTACCCTAGTCACTGGGCTCAAGGTTATAAGGAAGGCCTCCTCCCCACCTTGTCATTTTGTGTGGAATTAGGTGCGCTCCGAGCACACCTACTAAATAAGACCCTGCAGGCAAGACCTACCTATTTTCATCTGGTTTGAGAATCATGCTGGGGTGTAGGTGTCAGACAGGCACTCGGATGCAGAAACTTGGCACCTAGGGTAGGGAACTTTTTACATTAAAAACAATAAGGTTGGGCAGCTGCTGAGTAGGGGTTTGGTATACCAGTGATGCGTAAATTCCTTCGTGAATGTGGGTCTCTCACTGACGCCTATGTCAGCAAAACTTGTGTTGTTATGGGGTGCGAATATTCCACTCCCTATGCAGGTGTGCACAGTGCTATGTTGGCGGGAGAGCTTCTCCTGCCAACATAACTTATGCTGCTCCCAGGGGTGGGTTTTTTATGCCAACGGGAGAGCTCTCCCCCGGCGGCATGGAGCGTCTTCACTGTACGTGTCACTGCAGCGCCAAGCGTAGACATGGTCTAAGAGTCTTCTCTGCAGCTTTGGGGAGGAAACTGGGGGTAGAGGGCACTACTTAACACAGTGGTAGGCAAACTACGGCCCGTGGGCCACATCCAGCCCACCGGACTCTCCTGCCTGGCCCCTGAGCTCCTGACCCAGGAGGCTAGCCCCCGGCCCCTCCCTTGCTGTTCCCCTCTCCCCCACAGCCTCAGCTCACTGCGCCACCGAATGCTCTAGGTGGCGCAGCTATGCTCCAGGCAGTGCGGTAAGGGGACAGGGAGCAGGGGTTGGATAGAGGGCAGGGGAGTTTGGGGTGGTCAGAGGGTGGGGAATGGGGGCAGGCAGGGGTTCTGGGGGGGCAGGCAGGAATGAGGAGGGGTTGGATGGGGCGGCAGGGGGCAAGAAGCAGGGGGGGGTTCAGGGGCCAGGCTACACCTGGCTGTTTGGGGAGGTACAGCCTCCCCTAACTGGCCCGCCATACAATTTTGGAAACCCGATGTGGCCCTCAGGCCAAAAAGTTTGCCCGCCCCTGGCAGTCTGTTCATGGACTCGCATCTCTTCCTCACCACTCTACCCTTATTCCTCTGCAGAATCAGATTCTCGTGGCAGGGCGGTTTCAAAATCTTGAATTCTATACTATGGGCAATAGCTATGTAGGTTCTCCTCAAAGAGAGTTTAGACAGATCATTTTGTGCCTCCTTTCCTCAACGGTTACATCCTCAAAATGACAAACAAGATATACAGGGATACTAGGCTGGGACTAGCTTTGAAGGACTAAATACAGTTAATGTCTCACAGGCCACTTAGGCTTCAAATATTTTATCCTTTTGTTACATGTGGCATGTTCAAATACCCCCTTTTTTAAAAAAACATGTTCTGCTACCATCAGATGATACCATAAGTATCTGGATAAATCTTGCAACCCCTCACACACACACAAGTTTAGCTGTTGATTCTCAGGTAGTTAGAAAACAGTGCTTTATGCTCTGTCCAGGATGAGACTTCAAGCATCTTTTTCTTAGCATATGCACAACATGCCTCAGGTGGCACGTGACCAGAATTCATCCCTGAATTTGGTCTGCTGGTTGGATCATTAGCTTCCCCAGCTGGGTACTGACAGGGAGCGTGACAGGTCCAGAATGTATTAACATCTAATTGTCTGCCCTGTATTACTGTTAGTCATGTGGGAAACACTTGCAAAGATATTCAGCTAGCACACCAGTAATGGTGCTTGTTCCTCAAAGCAGACTGATCTGTCCTTATTTCCAAATGTCTCCCATTTTTATAGTCCCACTGTTTGCTTCTTGGGAGAGCCCTCCCTAGCACCTCACTTTAAGAAGCCTATGAAAAGTGCTCTTATCTGCCCTCAGGTACAGAATTGGCAGTGACAGTGTAAACACCCCAGATCCGTAAGGGCTATAGGCCACTTCTTTTAGTTACAGGAAGTCCTCACTTAACGTTGTAGTTATGTTCCTGAAAAATGCGACGTTATGCAAAACAATGTTAAGCGAATCCAATTTCCCCATAAGAATTAATGTAAATTGGGGGAGGGGGAGTGGAGGGGTTAGGTTCCAGGGAAATTTTTTTCACCAAACAAAAGACCATATATATATATACACACACACACACACACACAGTATAAGTTTTAAATAAACAATTTAATACTGGTACACAGTGATGATGATTGTGAAGCTTGGTTGAGGTGGAAGAGTCAGAGGGTGGGATATTTCCCTTACTGCTAAATGATGAACTAGCACAGGGGTTGGGAACCTCTGGCACGCGGCTCGCTAGGGATGTGCTGGCCGCAGCTTCCCACAGCCCCCATTGGCTTGGAGCAGCAAACCGCGGCCAGTGGGAGCTGTGATCGGCCAAACCTGTTGACGCGGCAGGTAAACAAACTGGCCTGGCCCAGCCCGCCAGGGTGCTTACCCTGGTGAGCCACGTGCCAGAGGTTGCCGACCCCTGAACTAGCAATTGGCTGAGCCCTCAAGGGTTAACACTTTCGCTCTACAAGGTAGCAGGAATGGAGGGAGATATGTGCATTTCCCCTTTAAGTACACTGCCTTGTTAATTAGATCAGCTTGCTGCAAGCTCCCTCAGTCCTGAGCCCTGGTGTGTCCCCCCCCTGCTCTATGGAAGATGGGGTAAGCAGGGAGAGGGGGACACCCTGACATTAGCCTCCCTCTTCCCTCCCCCCGCACAGCAAGCAGGAGTCTTGGGGAACAGCTCCAAGGCAGAGGGCAGGAGCTGCACATGGCAGTGGGGGGAGGGGCAGCTGCTGCACAGGGAACTTAGGAGCGTGGGGAGCTGCCGGTCCACCCTGGTTCCAAGCCCCCACCAGTTAGCTGCAACAGGCTGCTCTTCCTGCAAGCAGTAGCCAAAGCAGGCAGCTGCCAAAGGATGTTAGAAGGGCGCATTGCACAACTTTAAATGAGCATGTTCCCTAATTGCTCAGCAATGTAACAACGAAACAGGGATGACTTTAAGTGAGGAGTTACTGTATTTTCTTGGCTAAAACATCCAGGAACTCATTTTACATACCAGGTGTGATAAGACTCACTTTGTTTAAGGGTAATCTGCAACCTGCATATCACGAAACTCAAATTGTCGGTCTTAAATTCAACAGACAGAAATTGCATTTATGTAAAATGTATTGAAAAGGAAACTACATAAACTTATGCAATATTTTCATTATAGGAATGTTCCCTACCGCATCCGTGTACGTTTATCCAGAAAACGCAATGAGGATGAAGATTCACCCAACAAACTATACACGCTGGTTACCTATGTACCTGTCACCACTTTCAAAAGTAAGTGTACATACTCTTCTCCATTGCATGTTTTGTGAGCAAGGCGGTTGGCAAAGCCAAGCCTACTAAGCATCTGCTGCAAGGGAGACTCTTCTGGGTATCTGTGGCTGTTCTAGTATGTTGCTAGCTAGATTCATTCTTGTCAAAGAACTTTATTCTTAAATTTCTGCTGCAGAGGAAGAAGTGGGGGGCTTCTCTTGCCCAGCAGTTACCTCTGCTGCTCTCGGACCCACACAGACAGACAGTCTAACCTTGAAACTGAATAATTCTGTGAATTTAATCTTAAATGTTGTGGCACTAGTAGATTAAAAAAAATTCATAAATGTGAGTTAAGTTGTACCTTCAGGTTGGCAGTCTATTTGCTGCTTTAAAAATGCTCATCTCTATTAGTTAGCCTAGTTAGTTAATTAAAAGACATCAGCATTCTTAATCTTGTGGTTAACTGCTAATTGTGGCTTTGAGTAAAGCTCCTTAGGTGCAGCTAAGATTTAGAGTAGACTATCTTGGTCACTAATCATTTGAATTTTTTTATTTTATTTTTTTGCAGGTCTACAGACAGTCAATGTGGATGAAAACTAAACTGCTTTTCAATACAATAAAGTTATAAAAGTGACACTTATTCTGACTAAGATATCCTATTGAGCAGTGTCTTTTAATGCTCAAAGATCTACAGCATATCCAAATCAGCAGTTGGTGGCTAGGCAGCTGAAATTCCTGCTTGCTTTAGTGGGGTGTTACCTTTATAGCAGAAGGATGATACGTGTTTTTGAAATATATTGTTTACATTAGAAACGGTAAAGCAGCAGTTTGTTGTACCCCTCTCAAAACAAGAACATGGGGACAGGGACAGCCCATGAAATTAGAAGGAAAAAGATTTTTCACCCAATCTGTAGTTAAACTGCTGTAGGAAATTGTTGAGACCAAGAACTTCACAGGATTCAAAAAAGGATGGGGTTATTTTCGGGATATCCATAGTTAGACAAATTTTATGCTTCACGGCTTAACCCCTGATCACTAGTGCAGTGTGGAGGAGATATGCCTCTGTATCCTCTAAAACCTCTAGTTCTTGCCCATCAGAGGCAAGAGACTCAATTACATGGACCTCAGGTTCAATGCTCCATGGCAATGTGTATGTTTGTAAAAATAGTGTCCATACAGTTATTGGTGGTGGTAGCTTAAGGTTTTTTTTTTTTTAAATTAGGTCTCTTCTCTTAAATCTTCACTGGTGCTTTTAGAAAAACATGAAGAGTAAGTTGTGCAGTATGGTCTACAAACCCCCCCACTTTGAAAAGTACCCTTTACATAGGAGGGTTAGAGTGAGTGTCCTGCGCTTACCTCATGGGTATTCCTTTTAGTTGAAGAGTTGATACAGTCCCCCTACTTAGGGTAAAGTCCAGTACAAAAAGGTTTAATTGAAAAGTGCATGTTTTCACAGAACATCAGAAGCAGTCCATGTACACTTAAGATTAGCAAGACATACAGATCTGAATACAATCAAAAATATTAATAGTTTCAATTACCAGCATTGAAACAAGTCTTCAGGATTAGTGCAAAAAAAAAAAAAAAAAAAAAACCAAATCACCACATAAACAAACTGCAGACAGCTGAGGAGGGTTTTCCCCAATTAAAAACAAAAACTCTGTAACAAAACTACTGGAGCCAGCTTCTGCTCTCCCAATATGTAATGGGTCTGCAGTGTCTTCACAGTGCAGACAGATGTTTCCTTTTACATTCAAAACAAGAACATATTTAATAAATCAATAGCACAAACTACACACCCCTTTAGCTTTTAAAGCTCTCAAACTGAGGAGCAAACAAAGTGCACTGCTAACTAAAAGCCAGCCTTTCAACACGTCGCTTTGGTGTAACTTCAGTGCAGTCAGTTTCAGGCAACTTTGCTACTGTGTATTTAGTTTCATGTGTTCCCCTAGTGACTGGTCACTCATTCCATTTGTTTTGAGACAGTACTGATTTAGCTTTGCATTCTCCAGTTTTGGTTTCAATTCTAAAGGCTTTTCAAAGAAATTTACTAGTGACTGTTCAGTCAAAAGTGATGCTAAAATTTGTTCGAAGGAGATAATCCAGTTCCCTTCAGTCACAGGTAAAGATGGAGTTTCTTTATGAGTAGTCTTCACAGTGTCAGTAAAAACAGTATCCTGGTCTGAGGCCGAGGCCTCAGAATGTACATCCTCAGTAAATTCATCTGATCCACTCCCCAAGCTGCTACTTCTTTGACCCACTTCTCCAATCTGAAGTAGTAAAGTGGTCACAGTGGCAATGGCTTGATATAAAGAGTTTTCCTCAGGATCTTCATGAAACATGCTGTACAAGGTTTTGCAGAACTGGATGAATTCCCTCTAATAGGCAAGGGGAAATTATTGTAACAGGTCAAATTATTGATCACACCATATCACAGATACAGTACAATAGCTGTAAAAGTTTGGGCAGTAAGTATAAGGTGAGAAAGGATTTTAGAGTACCATGCAGAAGCATCCTCATTTGTAAACTCTTGCTACAAATTTAAAGACTTTTAGCCTTTGGATAAAATGCCAGGACGTACTCTGGCAGTTAGTAATACTTTCCTAATGTAATATGACAGACTGGATTTCATACAAGCCGTCTGTGCGAGTGAGAGAATGAGAGCGCCTCCAGAGAGAGAGAGAGTGTGTGTGGGTGGGAGTCTGGAGAGGGAGATTAGGATTTCATGGGAATGGGCAGTGTGTGATTAGCCTTGGGATGGGGTGACATCTTCAGTCAACCCAGAAACTGACAGTGCTGTAAACACAACACAAGTGATCTGGGATTTGCATTAGCTGCTTGTTGGTTTTGGCCTGTGGAAAACATAGATATGGCTTGGACCTAGCTATTTGAGAAATTACCTCTTTCCCAGTACTACGTTAGTGTATTTGCAGCCAGTGGAGGTACATGGGCTCTCAATTTACAAGAGAGAGTTGCTGGTGGGGTGGTCAAGGGCCCTTTTGGATTAGCTTCACCTGGTCCAAACTAGTTCAAATTTTGAATCTAGTACACGGAGTAATTTAAGTTTGTTTGTGGTACTTGCCATTAGAAAGAGCTGCACAGTTGGGCTCAGACATTTTTAAAAGGTATTTCCCACCCTTATTTAAAATTACATCCTCAATATAGAATACCTGGCTCATTTTTGGCATTGCTTTTTCAGTTTTAGTATCCTTCTCTTTGGCTAAATCTTTAAGCATCTGCTTCAGTTGCTTCTGGTAATCTACTGTATCACCTTGGGTGGGGGAAAAACACAAACATTAGTTTTAAGTCCACTGCAACAAATTAAAATAAAAACCAGAAACTGGGGAGGAGAAAAAACTTGACCAATAATGAACTTAGAGCTGGACAGCTCTATTATGTACATAATTATACTAACAATTTTATAAATTCGACAGCACATACCATTTGTTTTTCCAAATACTAGTGGCCTCGAAGTAGACAATAAAGGATTCTTCAGTGGTGACTGACTGTCTTTCTCATTTTCTGTGAGAGCTACCAAAAAAAATTAAATAAATTGAGAGAGTTAGTGATCCTTTACATGGTGCATTAATAATTAAGAGCTTTATCACATTTTAATCCTCTGAGCTCAGGAAGAAAACTAGCATTTATACTAAAGGTGATCTTTGCAGGTGATTGTTATTTCAGCATTGCCTAGTTGTATCAGACTTTATGCTTGTGTGAAAACAAGCAGCTTACTGTAATGGAATAGCAGGAAATGTTGCCAAGAGTAACACATTAACAAAAAGCTTCACACACTGTATAAAATATTACTCAAACTCTGATCACCTAATCACATGTTAGACTGGGATTGTATCTCTGCAAGGTCAAACCAGTACTGCATGCAGCAAATCTTTTCAATAAAAATAGAGTACCAACCCCTTAGAACAATTACCTCCTGTATGGAAAAGGGCCCAGAATCGATTGCAAGACATCTCAGAGTATAGCAGCTGTAAGCCACCTTGTTTATAGGAAGACACCCAAAATTTCAAAATTCAGCGAAGAAGAGCTTAGACTGGAATTTTAAAAAATTGTAACTAACTAGCACCATTAGAAATGTAGAGTGCACAGCCTCTCAGTTGAGGGCAGCCATATATATTCATTCAGCAACTTCTGCTTCCCATAAAGTCTGTTTATGGGGACTGGGAGAGGAAGGGAGGATGATCTTTTCCTTTCAAATTTCTTACCAGGAGGGATGTGCAGCCTGTATAACAGGTTTATCTTTTCATTCATTTCTCCATTATACATAACATCTACAAGAGGAAAATAAACAGTGCACCAGAACATTTACTTCCAGAGTTTAAAATAATCAGGAGTTCTTTAAGTACAACAGAATGTTCATATGTACATACAGCCAGTGTATTAAAATGAAATATTTAAGACCAGCAAGTGACCAGCTAGTGTGTAGGGCTTACTGTTACTAAACATGAAACACATCTAATCTAGAAATATTGGCAAGAATGCAAAGTGGCCTAGCAGAGGCTATATATTGCCACAGCTGAACAAAACCATGCCCTCATTTGGGGGGCCACCATTTTCCTCTTAATATTTCCCATACACCTCCATGACTGTCTTGTAGGATAAGCAGAGCAGTGAGGGCTCCCCTATTTTATTTAAATAACCAATGCAGACAAGGTACTAATGTTTAATTCACTCAAAACATATTGTGAAGGGTTTTTTTAAACTACTCACATCAGCTCACGTTAAGAGTTATACAGTGGCTCAGCTCTGTATCAAAAATCAGTTCTAGACATTAAGTGAGGAGATCTGTGTCTGAATACTGGATTTGGTATCCCACTACAGGTAAGGCAGTTTCAACTTTGGCAAGATATGGAGGTGCACAGCCTCATGCCATTCAGACACTAATTGCATCTCAGGCATACCCGAGCAAAGGAGTCAAGTTCCCTCCAGGTCAGGTTATAATTTTGGCGATCCAAGCACAGCCTGTGTACAGGGAAAGAGGGGAGGAGGTTGCTGTATAAGAGAAAAATAAGGCTCCCAAAGCTAGACCCTAGGTGGGCTGAGATTCTCTACTGTTCTGCCCTCTAGTTATATAAAGACTAAATGGATTATGAAACACAAAAGATACTAGGCAGCTCTCTCAATTGGGGGTGGGGAGAGAAACTAACATGGGAGAAAAGGGGATTTTGTAATCTCCAAATAAAAAAGAATGTTTAGAAAATTTTTAACGTGGTACGTCTTCTAAAAGTTTTTCCTAGCAAAAGTAAAACTTCTGGTGATTGAGAACTGTGAAGCATTTTAATATGATTTTTCAATCAGGTCCTTAGGTTGCCTTATAATTCTGATTACTTCAAAGTGAAATCAGTACAAAAGAGAGATTAGTTAAACTGAACTCAAGAAAAAGATGTCCTTCTCTCACTTTGGCATGCTAACTGAAGCCAGGCCGCCCTGCATCCCATCCCGCCACCAGCCGAGCCCAAGTGCCGGTTGGATTGTCGCAAAGGTAGCTACCTAAACAGCTAGCAAATCCTTTGAATTCGATGAGATGGTCCATATTTTCATCCAGAAGTCGGAACGTTCTTTCAGCTACAATTTGAGTGTGTTCCCCACATGTCCATGGTGAGACAAGTTTATAAAGGTTAGTGAACTGCTGAGAGTCTATTCTGTACTGCTCAGCATAAGGCCGACTTGGGTCATGTCGCAGAATTACAGGTCTCATCCCTTGCCAGTAGCAGCTCATTAGATGTTCTCTCTAAAAGGAATCAGAAGCCGTAGAAAAGAAAACATTATTACATAAATTATTAAGAATAGTAGTTGATAGAGACTTAAATATTCATATCAAGGTATGCTGGAACTGTTAACCTCTTTTTGTAGGTGTGATGATACCAAGACAATTCCTAAGGAAAAAAACACTGTTCAAGTCTCAAATCAGACAAATTGTCTCATGATTTCCCATGGGTAATTAGTAGGTAACATTTTCAAAACTAGTAAGAGTTTTACAATATTTTCTCCCAATTACCTAATAGTTATTGCTGTAAGGTAAACAATACACAGACAAACGGAGTCAGGTAAATATCACATCATTACTAAAAAAAGAACTGTTTCAAAGAGAATAACCCAAATCCAGGAAATTAAATTAGGAACAAGGCAATTAAATAAATTATTTATAAACTTGTCAAAGCCCAGGAAATTGTAAGTAAATGGAACGGACTCCAGGTTAATTTTTTTACTGAGAGGTGAGGCCTGGCCTCTAAAGAACATTAAGACTAAGAAAGTGAAGGGGATTTTTTGGTACTTAAGTTTTTTGCTGCTCAGCACAGAGAACACAGGTTGAAGAGCTGTGCATTATTAAACCTATGTGCAGACAGAATTTGCTAGAATACAATAGAACCTGATTTTACGCAGTCCTTTTTTGTACTACAGGGTAGAAGGGGCAGGCTAAGGTTATCTTGTGCTCTTTTAAGTGTCATGAAGTTATTCTTGGCTCTTTTAAGAAGTGTCATGAGGTCCTTGGGACCCAATCCAAGCCCCACTGTCTTAAATGATCATTAAATTTGCTCTTTATAATCTAGCTGAACAGCCACCTGAAGGGAGGAAAACAACAAGGTGCAGTTTAACATCTTATCCAAATGACAGCACCACTGATAATACAGTAACTCCCTCTTTCTGCAGTTCTTCACTGAAGCTCTAGTATAAGGCCAAATAAAGGTGTGCAAACTAAACCGATAGAACACTGGAGCTTTCTGTCTTCATCCCTCTACTTTCCAAACATACCAACCTTAAACAAGTCATATAGTTCCTCTAACTCTTCAGGAAGAATTGAAACATCTGGGATGACAACTCTGAGCTGAAAGGAAAAGAAGGGAAAAGCACAGTGGTGAATACCAGCACTGATATAAATGGCATGGTCAAGAAATGGGTGCTCCCACATTGTACTCTACACAGTGAAAAAGGACAGCCAAGAACTGAAACATTTATGGTTCCATATGTCTTCCAGTCCCCCCTTTAAATCTATCTTAGGCACATTATGAATACAAGCAAAAAAGCATGGAGGCTAAAAAACATCAAACAGATCACCCTTAACTCACACTGAGGTGCCTTTTTAAATTTAAAGCAAGCTTAATTAGAGTAATAGTAGTTAAAAAAAACCCTAAGTGCTAGAAAATTCTACTCACCACATTTTGTTTGGTTGTATCCTCATGGTTTTGTAGAACACGAATCCTGTGTTTATAGCGCATATGCTCTATCTGTTCCACAGAGTGGTCTCCGAATTTCTAGAATACAGGAATAGATTTTTTTAACTTTTCTGAAAATGTAAAAAGTGCATAGTATTATTAGTCCTAGAAAAATGAAAGTGTTTCAATATATTTAGTCTCTAGTTTATTGACCCAACTAGGTATTTACACCATACCCATCATTGTGGTATCTGAGCACCTTATCCAGGGGCTGAATTACCAGAGGGTTATGCTATGGAAACTCACACTGTTATTTAAGTATCACAGAAAATCCAGGAGATATCAAGTTTTATTTTACCTCATAGGAATCACGGATCAGATCAGCTATTTCAGTCACTGGACAGGGCTCCTGATCATCGCTAAAAAAGGCATGGTGATTACCGATTGGAGGTAGAGGGCTTTCCTCATTTTGAACGTGATCTAAAAACCTAAAGGGAACAAAGCAATACAAACACAGATTACTTCACTGTGTATGCTGTGAGCAGAGTAATAAGTAAGCATGGTCTTCTGGCTCAGACTTAATGGAAATATACAGGTTTTTATGCTACTAAGCTTTTCAAAATGCCTTGACTATTACTCACACTATAATTGTGATCTAGCCAATAACTGAAGGCAGACACCCCCCAAGGAAGAACGTTTCTGTCTCCACAAAGTCTGGGACAAGAAGCTCTTCAGTCAAGGGAAGAAGCTAAGCGCAGCAGTAAATAGTACACATTGACGCAGTCCCCTGCTTCTCTCAGTATTGCCAGGAAATTTCATAGGGGCTCTATTAGCCAAATTTCCTAAATCTTTTGTTGAGATCAGACACTGATGGGACAGCAGCAACAAGACGAACTTGAATTAGACGCTACTGCATATGCCTATACTATCCCTGACGAACCAAGGGACGCACCCGACCCATGTACTTATCCGCTACACCGCTACTGACTTGGACTCCTTATTCATTCCATGGGTGGCGTACCCGAGCCTACTTATCTTGACGCTTTAAAAACCCTTGCACCCTAATCTGGGTCTATGCCGGTTATGCGATATGTATGTATCTCTTCATCCTTGCAACCGATACCTGTAACCCCCCTTAACCCAAGCCTGACCCCAGATGTACAGTAACTTCCCTCTTAACTTGTGTATATTTAATTTTAAACATTAACTTTAATAAAAAAATTAAATCTATTCTTCTCTTACTATTGATACAGTAGCCACATTCCTTTGTATTAGTTTTAAAGCAGAGCAATTTGAAAGTACTATATAATTTGAAGTTCAGACAGAGGAGGATACCTGCTAAGAATCATCAAGGCATGTCCATCATCCTTGCTGTTACATAGTTCTGCTGCATTGGCTTCAAGAATAGCCAAGCCCAACTGGAAAATGGCTTTGATTCCATCGTAGAAGAAGCAGTCTACGACATTCACAGCACTTTCTAGGGGCATGATGCTGAGGAACAGGGTAAGGAACCACGAAAGGGAAATGGAAGCCAAGGTGGACAGATCTTTCATGTGTTCAGCCAGTTCTGGAAGTCGCTCCTTTATAAGCTCTTCGAAGACTGACTGGTCTACCTGAGCACCTGAAAGTCACAATGAAACCACAGGGTTAGCTGAGGCCAAAGGATTTGTTGAGATCTACAGTTAACAGCTGCCAAATCAACAAAATGAAATCTGAACCATCAAGATGTGTACGCACCTGACGTGAGTAACCATATTATCCTACAGTGATAAACCTCGTCCCCCACCCATCGTGTTGTGTCTATACTACTTATACTACTTATTGTAAGTTCTTTTGCACAAGGCCTGTGTCATTTTCGGGTGCTCTAAAATAATAATAGAAGCAGCTGCTTTTGGCTACAAACAATTTTATACCTAAGTGCTAGCAAGAACAGTTTTAAAAGCTGCTTACTGTTCAACTTGGGATTTATGCAATAAAAATGAAGCAAAAAAAACCTTCCTTCCGGGGTACATAGTTCAGCACTCCATACACACCAACTGCAAAAAGATGAGCAGCTGCACTAGAGTGGAAAATAAAAAACTGCTCTTGAAGGAAGTATTTATTTGGTAAAAAGTAGGATGTTTAAAAATATATATAATTTCCTATCATTCCCAGGCGTAAGTTTTCCTTGGTGCCTTAAAGACAATCTTTCTATATGGAGCACATTCAGGCCCTGATCCTGCAATCTTATCTATTAGCCCACACCCCTGTGCCCATGAATAGCTTCACTGGAGTCAATGTGACTTCACATGCGTAAAGAATCCATGGTAGCAAATCAGATATCCGAGACCAGGGCCTTGGATTAAAGATGTTTACTGTATACAAAAAGGAGTTCTCTTTGCCAGTCAATTTCTGTATTCTGTCTGTCTGCAGTTATGTCACGCAACCCACGTTTCTCCTCCCAGCCCAGATTTCTCCTTATCAGAAAGTTCTGCTTGCTATGAAATTCCTGGCTTTAAAATCAAGCTATACAAATCTCTATGATACATCACTCAAAACTTCTACTGCCCATCCTGCATCTCCTGAGACAAGAAGCCCAAAGCTTCAGCTTTCATACCCAAATCCCAAAGCACTGGACACAGCAATTTTGTTTTTTAAGCACTTTCTACATCAAGTCATAAGGAGGCACCCTAGTAGAGATGGGGAGTATGCAAATTATGCTATCATGTGAGTTGGTCAGATCCAACCCTGATCCAAAGATGATTATAATAATTTGAGAGCTAAGAGCTCTTGAGAAACAAGAAAGACACAATCCCCACCTCGCAGCGCATGCCATCTAACTCAGACATTATTCATCACGTGAGGACCATAAACAGACAAAAAGAGAAGGGAAAAGAGAGGAGGAAGGGAACAGGTGACAATAAGATCACGATTACTCAGCAAAACATGGACTCCACTTGACAGTTCCATTAAGTTGGTGTGTGTTTATCCTAACTCTCTCAGGCAATGAGGCAGAGTGGGTTTTTAGGAAGGATCTGAATGAGGCGGCAGAGGTAGCTTGGCAAACAAGTGTAGAGAAGGCATTTTGTGCCTGAGAGACAGCATGGAGGATAGATAGCAGATTTGTGAAGTCAGAAGTTTAACATTAGATATACATGAAGTGCTGTACATTTTACAAAAGGCCAGGTTATTAGTAATGTTTAAATTGTGGCAGTGGCCCACCAGGTCTATTTAAGGTACTTTTATGGCCCCCGTAACAGGAGTATCTGAGCACCTTTAATGTATTTACCCATACAACACCCCATGAGGGAGGGAAGTGCTATTATCCCCATTTTACAGATGGGCAACTGAGACAAAGAGGGGCAAAGTGACTTGCCCAAGATCATACAGGAAGGCTGTGGCAGAGCCAGTAACTGAACCCAGGTCCTCACTGTCCTAAAGCATGGTACAAACAGAAGATGAAAGCCACAGACAAGACATAACAAATAGAGAAGACCAACAGGTCATGGTGGGAGATGGGGGAAACAAGGTAACAAAAAAATAACGGGATACACACAATTCTCAATCAACCAGGAGCAGTGTTCACAGCTTGCCACCTGCCTAGCCATTATTGGGGTTACAGTTGGCTGTAAGCAACACAGAAAAGGTAAGTTTGGAGGAAGTACTTGGAGGAGGAAGTGGCTATGGCTCAGAGGGGGGTGGCATGAAGAAAAGTGCTTGTAGCAGACTCAGGTAATCAAGGCTGCCATCAGTGGAGGAGAGTAAGAGGGAGAGGCCCTCACAATAAAGATAAACAGTCAGGTACACATGGCAAGGCTAATTTCTGAAAGTAAGAGCAAGAAGTGTCTCTGGTGCAGTCAGGGAGGGAGGGAGTTAAGGGCTGTGTGTGGCACAGTCAGTGCAACGATTTTAGCAGCTGGATTTTGACTGGATGTGTTACTGTCACATGCCAAAGAGGGGGTGTCAAGGTCAGAGAGAAAGAGATTACAGAATTTATGGAGCAAGATGATCAAAGCTTGGACAAGAATTTTGGCAGAGTGGCAAGTTTAGATCTTGGAAATGTTGTACAGGAAGAAGCAATAACTTTTAGACAAGGCCTGGATATGACAGTCAGCAGAGAGGGCCAAGTGAAAGATGAAGCCAAGATTACAAAATTGAGCAACAGGAAGAATAACATTGTTGTCTGACCTATTCTGGGGGGCGGGAGGGAGAGGGAGGGCGGAGGAAGATCAGGAATTCCCCTTTGGTCATGTTAAGGGCTAGGGCACGTCTTCAATGCAGACTGAACTTGGGCTATTGGCACCTAGGTCTGAGCACTCAGGTTTTTAATAGATTCCAAGGCCAGAAGGGACCATTGTGATCATCTAGTCTGACCTCCTGCATATCACAGGCCGTAGAACTCTGCACAATAATTCCTAGAGCAGAGCTTTTAGGAAAAAAACATCCAATCTTGATTTAAAAATGGTCAGTGATGGAGAATCCTTCGTGACCTTTGGTAAATTGTTCCAGTGGTTAATTACTTTCACTGTTAAAAATGTACACCTTATTTCCAGTCTGAATTTGTCTAGCTTCAACTTGCAGCCATTGGATCAGGACTTCTAAGAATATGTCACAGAGTTCTTAGTGCTGCAGTAAAATGAGCTATAATTCTTTCCCAATGAATTGTGGGAGAACTTGTCTGGCCTGGGCACACAGGAAGAACTGTGTGAAGGCACTGGAGCAATATAAGCATTCAAGTGGTTTAGCCTACGTCCACAGCACAAAGTGGGCAGGAAATCAGCCTGAATGTAAGCAGCACTGGAGTTTTAGCCTAGAGCCCAGGATGGCCCAGCTAGCTTGGGTGTAAAGCATCACTCCGCTTAGGTAACAGAGTTTTGTGTGGACAGGAATCAAGTTAGTGAAAACATCTGAGCAAAAGCCCAAGTTAACTCTGCAGTGAAGACAAGCCCTTAGTTGATGGAGATACCACAAGGAGATATCAGAAAGACAGGCTGAGATTTGAGTTTGGATGGAAGGAGGCAAATCTAGAGTTGAGAGGCAGACCTGCAAGTCGTCAGATTCAAAATGGTAGTGAAAGCCATGTTCGCAGTTGAGGAGCAGGTTCTGACTGATGGGACACAACGGTGCCTAATCACCAGCTGAGAATGAAACAAATTGCCACTGTGTAGGGAGTATCAGCTACCACACCATTAACCTTTTTACTAGCTGACCCTAGAGCAATACTCCTCTAACTTAAACTAACTGCCTGCACTTATCCCTATTCAATGACCAGGGGATACAATGGCAGATGGTATCGCTAAGCACTAAGGATAGCAGTAAAGACAGAAGAATGAATAAAACTCAACATAAAGCAAATAGCTTCCATTTAAAAACAGTTAGGGAAGGACAAGCGAGTGCAAATAATGGAATATATATATATATATATATATATATATATATATATATATATATATATAGTA